CCCGCCAAAAGTCCCCTTCTGCAAACGGTGCTGCACCAGTTGAGTAGTCCTCGACTTACGACCGGTTGGGGGTCGTGGCATTAAAAAGGTTGAGAACCACTGGTATAGAGTCTCCTGCTCAAGCAGGGGCTGGGACTAGAACAACTGTCTCCAAGTGTATGAGCTTTGTGGACCAGCAGGGGGGGAGGAGATGGTTCTGCCTGAATGGCGGGTGGGCACGTGCGCCCACCACTTGCACAAATGAAACTCCATGCACGCACCTGCCTGCCCACCAAACACACACACTCACCCGCTACTTCTGCAGCCTGGTTCTGAACGGCCTGCAGCCTGTAGTGGGCCATGGCCTGGGGGTTGGGAACCCCTGGACTAGAAGACCTCCAAGGTCACTTCCAACTCTGTTATTCTATGTTCTAAGAACTGAACCAAGTGCTGGTGAAATGAGTACCCTGATCAGTAAATCCATTACTCGAAGGCATAATTGACTAGAGAAATTGAGCTCAGATAGCTGCTGGGCTAGGAGAAGACCCCATTTCTCAGGGGTCAACCTGTACCTCTAGACTGTGCATGGTAGCACTAGAGGATGCTACAGTGGTGAAAAATAAGGTCTCACATTTCAAAGTCACTCTTCAGGAATGTGCAATTGTTTTGATGTGCACAAAATCTCATCCTTTACACGGCAGAAATTGTATTGCTTTGTATAAATAATTAGGGAGTAACCACGAGCTCTGAGGTTTGATGACTATCAAAGGGAAACCTTTTTAAATAACTCTTTAAAATGAAAGATGAAGCTGTATTGTTCTTGGAGTGACATCCTCTGTCAGCAAAAGATGTTCTATTTGAAAGTAAAGACAGATTTCCTGAATTTGACTGGTTAACAATGGTGGGTTCCTTGACATATTTTGACTTTTAAATCAGCTAAAACTGGATTTACAAGGCAGTAAAATTAGTGTTCTTAAAGTTGACAAAAAAGTTGAAGTAACAATTTGAAAACTTTGTTTATGGACAAAGCAAGTTGACAAGAGAAAAAATAAATATTTTTTTCAAGATTAACTGAATTACAGGAGAAATATGGTGAAATTAATACCTGAGATACAATTTCTGTATGAACGTACATCAAACTAAAATGAATATTTTCCTCCAACTCATGCTGGAAAAATGTACATTAACTATCCATTTAATCACCAACCCCCAAGATGAGAAAAATACCACTGACTATATCAGAAGTAAATTCATTAACTGAGTTTGCCTGTGATATTGCCTAAAATAAATGCTGAAAACATGAATATTCACATCTGTATTAAACTGCTATTTCTTGATGTGCAACATATAAATATGACATCATTTTTCTTCTTTCGTTTTCTTCAAATATAAGTATAGAAGATTTGTTTTCTCTTGCTCCAACATAAAATGACTATTTAATGCAAAACCTCACCTATACTATATCCTCCTTACTTATTAAAAAAAAGTGCACACATAATTGCCTTGTAAGTTGTAAATTTAAATAATGAGTGAAAATGCACCGCGTTGGTTTTCATTGGGTTTTTTATGGATTTTTGTTTGTAAATAGCAAAAGGAAAACAGAAAAAAACCCAGCTCCCAGCAGCTATATAAAATTGGAGAAACTCTGCTTAGCCCTCCCCAACCATTAGCCCTCCAGCCTCACCTTAACAAATTTGGGAAAGACAAATTCACTTTTGCTTTAGGCCAGCACCTCTCAACCTTGGCAGCTTTCAGATGGGTGGACTCCAATTCCCAGAATGCCCAGCCAGCAAGCCTGGAGTTGAAGACCAACCATCTGAAAGCTGCCAAGGATGAGAGATGATGATGCACTACGAAAACAATTCCAGGCTTTAGAGAGCTTCTACCAGTAGAAAATTCCTTCTAATCTCTTTGCCTGTTCACCCTTGTGCTTGCTCTGATCCTAGGGTCAAGAAAGGAGCAATCCATCTTCTCTTGCCCTTTTTAAAATTTGATTTGCTCTCATGCATTTGATGGTCTTCTAACTATTGTATCTCCCAATCTTGCAGGATGCCCCTTTTCATCCATCTATCAGGCATTAGAAAAGCACACAACTCCTCTGGAGTAAGGCAGGCAGCTACAAGTAATGAAGCAACGAGACCTTCTTCTTCCCACCAAAACCAGCAATAAGCCACCATCTTTGTCCCAAACCAGCATGTGGCTGTTCTGCCCTCTGAATGGCAGGCGAGGCCCTCGGGTGTCTGCCCACATTCAGATTTGGAACCTGTTGTCAGACACCAAAGACCAAGCAAGACACTGAGATTCTTCGAAGCAGTTTGTTCCATTGTTCCTCACCTCTAGACAGAGAACTTGCCCAATTGAAACAGACCGTTTGCACTGCTAAACATACTCTCTTGGGGAGGAGCCATCTTAGCTCTCTTTCTCCCACATAGACTATCTAAGCATTGTTTTCTCGGTCTCCTGGAAGGCCTCCTTTCCTCTCTGTTGGGAATGAGGAGGCGCATTCCACCCCCCCTAGCAGGAACTGGGGGAATGGAGCAGTTGGAGTCAACAGAATGAGCCGAGGTGGCGCAGCAGTTAGAGTGCAGTACTGCAGGCCACTTTAGCTGACTGTGTTCAGCAGGTCAGCGGTTCAAATCTCACCGGCTCAAGGTTGACTCAGCCTTCCATCCTTCCGGGGTAGGTAAATGAGGACCCAGATTGTTGGGGGCAATGTAAATATATATATATATATATATATATATATATATATATATATATATATATATATATATATACACATTGCTTACTGGTGTACACCGCTTAGAGAGTGCTTGCACTTAAAGCGGTATATAAGTCTCATAAATAAATAAAATAAATAAACAAACAAACAGAAGAGGCCTCTCTAGAGCAGTGGTTCTCAACCTGTGGGTCGGGACCCCATTTGGGGTCGAACGACCATTTCACGGGGGTCGCCAAACCACGTTGTCCGCCATTTTTCCCCTTTTCCCTAGCTGTCCTACTCCCTCTTATTGGTGGCCACACCCACTTGGGGGTCACCACAACATGGGGAACTGTATTATGGGGTCACGGCATTAGAAAGGTTGAGAACCACTGCTCTAGAGCAACCTCTCAGAGCATCCGAGATGCCACACTCGGATGGAAGGTGGCCTGGGGCGGGTCAGTGGAGGACCCGTCATCTGATGGCCCAGAAACATCTTGACATTGGCGAGTGGCAGCATCTGTCTCTGGGCCAGGAGATGGAGAGAGAGGAGGAGGAGGAGGAGGAGGAGGAGGAGGAGGAGGAGGAGGAGGAGGAGGAGGAGGAGGAGGGGTGCAAGGCTAGATTCCACTAGAAATAAAAAATGCCGTGACCTTCATTCACAAGGACACATCCTTCAAGCCCCATCCCTATCTCCAGCACAGAGAGCCTCAAGCCCTTGCAGGATCCCCTAATCTGCTCAAGATCGAGGATCAAGTAAGCAGGAGGGGAAGGGAGAGAACTGCAGGGGGGAAAGTCTCTCCTCCTCCCAATTCCCCACTTCCAGGTGGAAAAGCGACAGAGTGGTGGAAAGAGCGGTGGAGGCTTCAGGACCCACCTCGGTCAACATTTGAAAGATCTGCTCCACACCTGCCTGGCACCTGTCCTCTGAGGACAATCATCTGGCTGTATTTTGGTCTGTTCATCATCACCAAAGAGACTAAAAATAGAGGCAGTTGGAGAACAGAGGCTCATCAGCACCTCCCCATCAATCACAGTGGCAGCCTCTGAAATTAGCTCTTCCCCACTGACAGCACATCCCTTCAAAGGGTGGGTGGGTGTGCATCTTGTCTTGCTTGGTGCCTAGAATGTGGATTCTCTCCAGATTTTCTAAAGACTGCTGAAAGCAGAATCTGTGTTTTTATTGTTAAATTAATTGCTGGGTTTCTTGCGCAAAGGGCCTCGAGGTGCCATTTATAGATATGTATAAACGTTTGGAGTATGGCAAAAAAAAAATTGGAAGCATTTGGCTCCAAGACTTATTTTTCATTTCCTCCTAAACTTTCAAGATTCTGAATGTTTCATTTTCCTTTTTGACAAGTTTTGCAATTGTGCACTTTCCAATTCAGCTTGAAGAGTCCTCTTTTGTTGCTCTCACGAATGGGTTGCCAAGAGCACTTCTGGATCAAACCATCCATTGCACCATCATGGCTCCATCTCAGATTTTTTGGGCCATATTCTGCAGCCCCCTCCCCAGCATGGCAGGTGGGTTCCACAGGAAATGGAGGAGGGGGCAGGAAAATGGCCCCTGAGCAGAGAGGATCCATTTGGCATGAAAAGTGGACTCTGGCTTTCACCCTGGTGCATACTCAAAACAGTATTTTAAAAACCAAACCAGAAAGTATATCTGGGGAAGCCAAGTTGCAAATGGGCTAAAGGGGTGGGGGACAAAAAAAACATGGTGCCCATGGCCATATGATCAGGGCTACCCCTCCCTCTGCAGATATCCCCGTAAATTAAGAAAAATTTTCCATGGGAGTGCTGAGATTCACCAGGTGTCCTGATTCCAGACAGGCCTTGATTCTGTTCTCCAGGCTTAATTTTTCCTTCTTTTTTGCAGATGGATTTGGGCTAACCCCCTTCCCCCTCACACACACACACATATACGTACAGACACAGAGAGAGAAAGACAGCTCAAGGCACTTGAATGGAATTAAGGACACCAGCTGCAAAAGCTTTTCAAGGACTGAACATTCAAGTCTGTGGTGAACTTTCCTCCTGTTCAAATCAAACCACATAAAATGTGCAATTTTGATTTTTTTTTGTTTTTAGATCTGCAAATGAAGCCAACTGGCTTTACCCACGTACATTCTGCCTTTAGGCCATGTAAATCACATGCCCACCTTCCCTCCTCCGGGGAGCGTGCCCCCAAAGCACCCCCTGAGCATTCCCAGCGGGGAGTGGACTCATGGTCTCAACCACAACCCCAGGCTGGCTCTTTTGGTGTTGCCCCTCAACTGTCCCCTCCGTCCTTCTGGCCAGCTCTGCTGAGTTTACTCACGTCGGAGGCAGGACCCTTGTCGGCCCCTGGGCAGGAGAAGGTAACAAACTCGTGGCACCTCTTGTGGACAACGAAGCAACAAACTGCAACGAGAAAAGTGAGGATGCAGGTTAATCGGGGGCTCGTGGAAAAGGGAGAAGTGGTCTTCCGTCTGGCCTAGGGATAATCCTTGGGGTACCCCATGTTATCCCTGCCAGGTTGCTTACTACATTTCCTGCACCCCACATCCTGATTTTGCATTTAATGTGGATTTGTAAGGCAGAGGTAATTTGTTTTCCTGTCTTTTAAAAAAAAATAAGATGAATTTGTTTAATTTAAGAATGTAACAAGATTATCCCTCAATTTTATGTGGACTGTGTGTGTGTGTGTGTATGTGTGTGTGTGTGTGTGTAAAAACAGACCTTTCAAGATTTTTCTCTGCAAAATTCATGAAGAATTTTTGAGAGAAAATCATTCTTCTTTGTGAATTAGCGGCAAACAAAGCCTGGCTCTGCAGGGGCCTTTGCTAACTCTAGTGACTATGGCCCACAGTCATGATGGATGGGAATTGTAATCCAAAACATTTGGAGATTGAGCAAAGGGGTCCAAGGGATGCAATTAGATCAAGTCGTTTATTTATCTGCTACTCTAATCCACACAACAGTCTTAGCAGATTCATTTTAATCTAGACCAGTGTTTCTCAACCTTGACAATTTTAAGGCAATGCTGGCTGAGGAATTCTGGGAGTTGAAGTCCACATGCCTTAAAATTGTCAAGGTTGAGAAACACTGATCTAGACTCAGCCCTTTGTGCCCAGGACCAATAACAGAACAAGAGGCAGAGACTGATCTTTATGTTTATCCAGGGGTCCCCAAACCCTGGAGTGAGCAGGTCACTTAAGTCTGCTGACATCTGCCTCTCCTTCTGCACTTGACCAGCACTGAAAATCACTGATTTGTCCAGGCAGACCTACAATTCCTGAGTGGTTCAGGAACAGAGCTAATGCCCAAATGCCACAACCAGTTTCTTTTGACAAAATGGTGTGGTGGTATCAGCGACCCTGCTCATCGGGCATCCAGATTCACCCCATTTCTGCCACAATGAGTGTGCAGGCTTTCTACCCCCCAGCTACGCCCATGCCCAAAGCAGAGGGACAACCTCTGTATTTATCTATTTATCAAGTTTATATGACACCCCCCCATCCCACAGAAGGTGACTCTGGGTAGCATGTAATGAAACAATATATTATAAAACCACTTTTATAAATATTATAAAATATTTTGTAAAACCACTAGACGTTTAAGCAATTATGCATAAATGAAAACAAGATCACAAGAGGGCTAAAATCAGAATGTTATATACATGGTGCGGCCAATGCGGGCTGGTTCCCTGCAGCCGGAACTACAGGAGATCATCGGCTGGGGAGGAGATGCAGATGAAAATGCATATACCGAAAAGACTGAATAACAAATGGGCTTGGCTCCCCCAGTTCAAAACCATAAAAATCCCTCTTGCAAATGCCAGAATTGGCACAGCCGGCCCTATCTGGGGCCAAGGGCTGCCCTCCAGCTGTCTGCAAAGGACTAGCAGAGTCATCCAGGGCAGATTGGGTGCACGTGGCCATCTCAGCAATCGATCGATGGATCGATCAGGCCGTTCTTACCACCAGGCTGACTGTGGTGAAAGGAAGCCATTTCCTTTACAAGGGAGTTCCAGCTGCACCCAGCCCTTAGGAGTCCCCGGCTGCAGCCTGAATGGTTCGATTGGCCCGCAGACTTTGCTGGGCAGGGGCAAGGAGGCCAAAGTGCACAACACAGAGGCCACCTGGCACTGCATCTGCTCCTGCTACCCCTGGACTTGCTGGCAGACAAGCAGAGGCCAATAGGAAGAGAGGGGAGAGCATGTCAGACGGTAGCAGGTCACCACTGCACAGCGTCCACACCAAGAGAAGGTCTGCATGACAGCCTTTACATGTGATGCTAATCAAGAGAACACATATGGCAGCTTAGAGACTTTTCTGTGTTTCGTGTAGGGAAGGAGAGACAAAGGAAGAATACAGATTTGCCCAATTCACACATCTCTGATTGGACAGTGACTGATACTCCTCTACCAATATATGCTCTACATGTAAGAGAACAGTACATATCTACAGAAATGCACATGATCCAAGATAAAATCTCTCCAGAATGTATATGAGTCAATATACAGTAAAAGAAAAAAAATGACATTACCATAGGTATATATTACAGGCCACCCAACCAATCAGAATAAATAGATTAACTCTTTGCCAACCAGTTAACAAATGTATGTAGAAAGCACACCACAGTAGTAATGGTAGACTTCAACTATCCAGATATCAACTGGGAGACAAACTCTGCAGCGAGTGGGAGATCAAACAGATTCCTAACCAACATAGCTGACAACTTTGTCTCCAAAAGGTGGAGGAGGTAACTAGACGTAAAGCCATACTGGACTTAATTCTAACTAATAGAGAAGAAGTGATAGAGGGGTTGAAGTTGCCAGAACTTTGGGCGAAAGTGACCATGTCATACTGGAATTTAATATAATGCAAACACTAGCAACAGAAAAAAATCCAACCAGTGTGTAAGAACCCACCCCACTTTGCATCTTTAGAAGACAGAACTCTTGGAATATTTCTTCCAACAGGCATCCTTTATTAAGAGAAAATGGTTGCAGGCGTTCTAGACAGGACCTGGGGCCCAAGCCCTACAGTTCAAGGTTTTAAGGGGTCCCCAGCAGCCCAGCCCAGCCCACCATCTTTCCAGCGACAATCCCAGGTGTTACATTTCCACCCCCTTTTTCCTCACTGCCGGTGGAAGGGAGACTTCAGAGAAGAGTAGATGAAAGCTGATGGCCCCATTGTTATGATTTAGTCCTTTTGGTGGTATCCACATTCAATCCCTTTGAAGTTGTACAGAAGGAAGTGAGCGCCATAAACCCCCTTGTTCACCCCCCCCCTTCCCCTTCATCTTATGACAGAATCCAGAGAGGGCAGAAATGGGATTTTCCATAGTCGATAACTAGAGATGAAATATAATTGGATTCTGACACAGTGTCTTGAACTTCAAAAGAGCTGACTTTAACAAACTCAGAGAGAACCTAGAAAGATCCTATGGATGAAAATCCTAAAGGGGAAAACAACCCAAGAATCGTGGGAAACTCTGAAAATGCAATCACAAAAGCCCAGACCAGTACAGTACCACTGAAAAAGAAAAACAAGAAATTCAAGAAGAAACCAGCAGGGCTGCACAAAGATTTCTCTGACAAACTGAAAGACAAAAAGGACAAATACAAAAATTGGAAAGCTAAGGCCAATTATCAGCAGACAGCCAGAAGATGCAAAGATGAAGTCAGGAAAGCAAAGGCTCAGAATGAACAAAGACAGAAATCATGGATAATAATAAAAAGTTTCTTCCAACATATTAACAACAACAAAAAAGTCAACTGTAGGTCCACTAAAGAGAGAAGAAGGAAATAACAGGCAATAGGGAGAAAGCAGAGCTGTTTAACTCATACTTTGCATCAGTCTTCACACGAGAGGAAACTATAGCCCAACATACCAAAAAAACCACTGCAAAAGACAAACTAGAAACAAAAATTAAAATAAACAAGAAAATGATAAAAGAACACCTATCTGACCTTGACGAATATAAATAACTGGGGCCTGACAGATTACATCCCAGAGTTCTGAAGAAGCTGGCAGATGTTATCTCAGAACTGCTGTACCACATCTTTCATAAATCCCGAAGCACCAGGAAAGTACCTGAGGATTGGAAAAGGGCTGATGTGGTTCCCATCTTCAAGAAAGGAAAAAAAATAGACCCATGAAACTACAGACTAATCAGTTTAACATCAATATCTGGGAAGATCCTAGAAAAGATAACCAAAAAACAGATCTGCGAACAACTAGAAACAAAGTTATAACTAGTAGCCAGCACAGGTTTGTTAAAAAACAGATCATGCCAAACCAATCTTATTTCATTCTTTGATGAAGTGACTAAACTAATAGACCAGTGAAATTTTGTGGACATAGTATACTTAGACTTCAGTAAGGCATTTGATAAAGTAGACCACAACCTACTCCTTGGTAAGCTAGAAAAAAGTGGAATAGACAACATCACTACCAGGTGGATCTGTATCTGGCTGGCAAACCATACTCAACAAGTAGTCCTCAATGGCACTACATCCACATGGAGAGAAGTAAGCAGTGGAGTACCACAAGGTTCCATCTTAGGCCCAGTACTCTTCAATATCTTCATCAATGACTTAGATGAGGGAATTGAAGGGGAACTCATCAAATTTGCAAATGACACTAAACTGGCAGGAGTAGCCAACACTCCAGAAGACAAACTCAGGATCCAAAAAGTTCTTGACAGACTTGAACAATGGGTCCTATCCAACAAAATTAATTTTAATGTGGAGGAAAGCAAAGTTTTACATTATGCAAGAAAAATCAAAGTTATTACAGATTAGGTGAGACTGGCTCAAAAACAGTAACTATGAGAGGGACCTTGGAATCCTAGTAGATAATCATTTAATCATGAACCAGCAGTGTGCAGCACTAGCCAAAAAAGCTAATACAATCCTGGGTTGATTAAAAAAAGAGGCATAGAATCAAGATCATATGAGGTATTAGTACCACTTTATAAAGCCCCTAGTAAGACCTTACCTCGAATACTGCAGCCAATTTTGGTCACCATATCACAAAAAAGATGTTGAGAGTTTGAAAAAAAATCAGAGAAGAGCAACTAAGATGATCCAAGGCCTGGAGACTAAAATATATGAAGAACGGCTGCAGGACTTGGGTTTGAGTAGTCTAAAGAAAAGAAGAAACAAGGGAGACAAGATAGCAGTATTCCAGTATCTGAGGGGCTGCCACAAGGCAGAGGGGGTCACGTTATTCTCCAAAGCACCAGAGTGCAGGACAAGAAACAATGGTTGGAAACTGATCAAAGAGAGAAGCAACCTGGAATTAAGGAGAAAGTTCCTAACAGTGAGGACAATTAACCAGTGGAACAGCTTGCCTCCAGAAATTGTGGATGCTCCATCCCTGAAGGTTTTTAAGAAGAGACTAGACAATCAC